CCTATGGGGACAGGCGTTGGCGCTGAAACTTTTATGGCCGCGTGCAGGCTAATCTATATTTATCGGATTTATTTATTTGTTACAGTTGAGATAAACTTGTGTCTTTGGTCTTGGCACTATCAAATGCCTATTTTACATATATCTTTACTTGGGGACTGTAGATTTTGATAAATTCATGTTAGAAATCTAACCAGTAGAAAATAATACAATTTTGATCAAAACGTGTCTGTGATTTACGGTTATAGATGGAATACAAATCGCTAGCTTAGGCGCACATTGTGATATACTTGTCACGATCCCAATATCGATAAATCTGCGCGTACGCAATGCGCTTCGTTATCGACGTCTGAGCCCCGATTACGGTATTTTTTAACGTCAACAATCCAGACACGCTTCTCGATTCTGCGATACGATTGGTCGTTCAACAGTGTACGTCAGCTGTTTTGACCAATCGTATCGCAGAATCAGAAACGCGTCTGGATTGTAGACGCTATAAAAGTTACCGTAATCGGGGCTCTGTGCGTCATTATTGGCTATAAATGTCGTAGTAGCGTAACGCATTGTACACGAGTCCTAGAATAAGAACCCAAGATATGTACAATACACGGGTATTTAAAGCGGATAACATAAAAAGATTCTTGAGAGAGATCAAACTCCTAAGTAGGTTATTATGTCTTTTTGCGTGGGTTCGTTTAAAAGATTGTGATGGATTGTGCAAAAAGCATAAGCCACGTAAAAACAATATACCATCTTTACGAGCTAACGGCACCTTTGAGAACCACCGCCAAAGGATTCCACCACGCACGACTTTTAGCTTTCGTCTGTATTCCTAGCACCATAACACCATATACCTCCTCTATTCCTGCCTCAAACCTTTCACTTCATTTTACACCTTTCTGCTATGGTAATACGCTTTCATTCATTCTGCGAAATCCTGGAAACGACTTCTCTAGCACTGCCAATCTATTTTTTACCTTCAACCATAAACATAGCGTTGATATTCCTTCGCAGAATCATGTCGTTAATCTGCCATTCGCCGGCGCAGGTGTGATGTGACACGGCCGTAACGGTTCTGATGACTATGTGCGCAATGACGTTATGATTGCACGTTGGTTCACAATTCACGAAGTACGCAGTCAATTTTACTATTTTGTTATGGCTGCTTTTGCTCGCTACTTCCTTCATTGACAGACATATAAAGTATATACCTATACTAAAGCGTAAGTCGCACTAGGAGCCAAAATACTCGTAACTGTTAGCTTACATAGAAAAGCATTTTGATAGTCGTCTTATGAAAGACAGGGGTAGATTGTCACTCGCGATGTGAAAGTACCCTACATCTAAAAGCTCTGTAAGCTTACAGGGATTCTTAAGTTCTTGTAGGTTTATTGTTTATACAATGCAATGTTTAATACCAAAAGTAAACAGGTTTTATTTGTAGTTTAAAAATCCTGTCGCTATTACAATCACATTATTATGCGCACGCAATTTACAACTTTTATTCTCTTCTTCATGAAATTAAATTAAAAATATGGTCCAAGCTCACTATAAAGTAAGTTTTAATTAAGCAAAAAATAAGTGGCTAATTGAGTGGGATCCTGCACCGTGGGATTAACGAGTCATTATCTATGTGATCCATCTCAAACGATTTATTAATCAAATCGGTAATTATGGGCTTAGTCTGAATAAGAGCTTGACGGAGATAACTCCATTCACCTTGGTCGAGTAGAAATTATTTTGGAAATGTAAAACTTTATATTATTTACAATCATGCATGTGTGCCACTCTTTCTACATAAAGAAGGGAAATCCCCTTCCCTATCTCTAAAGAAGCTCTATCACAAAATACTCAAATATTACAAACATTATTTTACTAATGGTAAGACTGCCTTACATTGTGCTGGTGTACAATCTTTAAAATGCACTTGAAATTCACAAGTGCAGTCTACAAACGTATTTATTAATGTTCTACAAAGAACACTAGAGCCATTTATGAAAGTGCATAAAAACTTTAATTCGTGACAAGTTTGTCAATAAATAAAACTGCTTTTAAAATAGAATAACTTTACAATTGCTGTAAAAAGCCTATCACGGCGGCTTTAATGATTCTTTAATGCCACTAAAAGGGTCATTTGCGCTTTTTGTGCTGCATTTGTACATTCAATAATAAACCCGCAATGGACAATTATATTCAAATGAATATAAATAACATTTTAACTATCACTTTGCTCCGTGAATTGAAATTAAACTGAGCAATCAAAACACAATAACCCGCTGGGAAATAAATTATCTTTTTGTTGAGTGAGGTAAATTACATGTTCAGTAGCAAACTTAGACTAACATAAACTTGGAATTGTAAAAGAAGTTAAAGCTTTTTACGTTCTTGCAGAAAAGTAGACACCTCCAAAGTAAGTATTTGTTGACCATTTTTTTATATCAAAATCTTTTTTTTTCATTCTCTTTAATTTCCGGTTTAAGATTCAATTGACTTTAACATAACTCCTTATGTCTGCCTACCTATTTCGATAAAACCTTTGGATTTACATTTACATCGCATCCAAAATTCTTTGAATGTTAAAGAGAAAAAAGTTTTGCTTAGGCCGATTCCACCAAACTTATAACCGAGAATAACTCCAGCCCCCCTAGACATAACGCACTTTTTGATCGAATCGAAAATCAAATCCGTCAAAACTCCATACAAAAAAGGGGCTTTTCGGCCACTTTTCGACTGGTTTGCGATTATAATTTGCACTTTGTCTAGCTAGACCCTCTGGTATAACTGGCACATTGACAGTTTCAGTATGGGAAATAAATTGTCAAAATGACAAGTTTATTCTGACATTAATAATATTTAACTCTTGTTTGGTCGAATCCACTCTTAGGAGGTTAAAAACTTATGGGGAGGAAAGCCTATTTTTGTGATTATGAGACATTGCAAGAGTAGACATAGAGATTAACTAATAAGTAAACATAATTTTTCGATGAATAAAGAAATCACATAAGATTTAAGTAAGCAATAGGTAGGTACCTATCAGCGACCGCTAATCGTAGCCCCGTGATAATATCGTGCGTACGCGCATAGATTGCTGTTCTGTTTAGAAAGCAATTTGCGCGCTTATGCATCTCAATCGATTGATTTAATATGCATAGTCTGGTAATATAAATAGCTCTTGATCAATAGCGAGTTTATTAAAGAATGCACTGAATGAAAAAGCTTAGACATCGAGTTTTTTTGAAATTTTCTAAAGTTATTTTTGACAGCATGTAATATGATGATGATATAATGGCATATCCAGTAACAATGAATTATTGACTTAATTACTTCAAGAAACTTGATGATGAGCGAAAAGATGAAGTAGGATTGAGGGGAGACAAAAGATTTCAATGAGCAACTACTCCATGCTGAGATTTACTTAGTCGTATCAATATTGTTTTTATTTAATGGCTCTGAATTATGACTGACATTAAACATCGAGATTGAATGTTCAACGTCATCATAAAAGAATCAGTGTGCATAAAGAAGATTTGTAACTATAATCTTATTTATTGATATTTAAACTTTACAATAATTAAAAGAGGCAAAGTTTTTAAACACTTCAATTGTAAATCTTACCAGACACTATAGTCAGTGTTATGACTTATGAAACACTAACTTGCGCATTTAATTAAATCATCCAATAAGTCATAACTAGTTCTATTAACAGGCTGTAAAAGCATAAAAACATTTTTTTTTTATTGCTCGCCTCTTAACTGGTCGCTACCATAGAGAATATAAGACTTGCATAAGTCGTCGAGTTAGTTATGGCGCAAAAAATATGTAGCAACTGGTTTGCAAGTTAGTTTTATCGTCAACCATATTATTAAATGAATTTTGATTTAATTAACAGAAAATCCATGATTTCAAATTATCTACGCTTAATTTTTAAGTTTTGTTATACTCCATTTATTATTCTATCAAAAGTATTCCGTTAAAGTAACAGAAAAAGCAGTCTAATCAAACTTTTTTTGTATTAAACTTAATAACCTTAGTAATGAAAATAATTATAAACTGCATGAATATAATTAAACAATTTAATAACTTAATTTTCTTGCCTTTTTTCAACACAATTTACCGGTCCAAGACGCCAGTTAAGCGTGGTCTATAAATGTCCGTGAAGTCAATTATTGAAATTGAGCCTGATTGCATTTTAAATAGTCTATTTTATAAAATACTTAATACGTATTTGAATCTCATGTCGCTCTACCCTGCAAAGGATTCATCGTATTGCAAATCTTGTCTGTAATATCAAAGTTTATCTTAATTCAATAGAACATTTGTACCGTTTAGGTCTTATGTGAATCTTATCTAATGTATCAGGTAAGTATTCAGTTCAGAAATGTATCAAAATGTTGAAGTCTGACGTACTAATTAAATACAACGAGAATAGCAGTCGTGATATGCAAATAAATTGTATTTGATTTGATATAGGATTTTTTTACAATGAAAGAATTTTTCCAATCCGACCAGTACTTCCTGAGATTAGCGCGTTCAAGTAAACAGACAGACAGACAGACCGACGACCGGACGGACGGACAAACTATTCAGCTTTGTAATATTAGTAAAGATATTCAGGCGCTGGTTTTTTTCCGGTTCCGGTGGTCGTAGAAGTAGCACGCACGAAAGTGATCTCCGCAAATATAGCTACGAAACTGTGTATAATCGTCACAAAAATACTCAATTTGTCAACAACTATGAGCATCGAGTACACGAACATTGCAGCGAACAGTGGGACAGTGAAAACATTGCGCTATTCTTATTAAAAAAGTGAATAAACTCTGCAAGTTAGAAGTGCAATTCATCAAAACAAACTCATCTGTCAAAAAACGTACACCAAGCAGGAAGTAGTGCCAACCTAACGAACGAATCGCCATAGACAACTGCTGTCAGTGTGACAGTGTCAGTGTTGCAACAACAAAAAATAATCGGTGTTCCCTTCACAAGAAACTAAATTTCTCCGAAAAATGGATATCAACATGGAAGTTTTGCTATCAAAACTTGACGAAAAACTAAATAAACAAACACTAGCTATCACTACAGCGGTAACAGCAAACGTAATGGAGGTCCTAGAAAATAGGCTAGCACCAATCATAGAAGAAAATAATAACCTAAAACAAAAAGTTGCAAACTTAGAAGTGAAACTCAATTCGATCGAAAAAGAGAAACGCAAAAACAACATTATCTTTTTTGGCTCCAACGAAAAAGACAAGAACGAGACTGAACTGATAGACTACATTAAAGAAACCATTCAGGATTCAGGAACCCATTTGGACAGTCAAGAGATAAGCAATATCTATCGAATTGGTAAACCATCATCCAAATGTCGCCCCGTCGTCGTTACACTCACTACAACATGGAAGAAACACCTGATCTTGAAGAACAAAGCTAACCTTCCTTCAGGGATATATGTCAAAGAAGATTACCCGAAAGACGTTCTAATAACACGCAAAGAATTACAGTCAAAAGTAGATGAAGAAAAGAAAAAAGGAAACGTAGCATACATCAAATACGACAAATTAGTAGTAAAGCATCCATACAACTCAAGTAAAGAAAAAAGGAAAAGAGATAGCAAGTCACCAAAATTAGCACCACAAAAGAAGCAAAATACTAGGAACACAGAAGATTCTGCAAATACAGCAACAACAGCCCCATCAAAACAAGTAATTAGACCAAATATATTGAACTATGTTGCACGCGAGAGATCTGCTTCTTCTCTATCAGACATCCCAAAAAACAATTAACCGCCTCCACCATCCGGAACCGCCATATAGAAAATAAAAACTATGGATTTAGAAAAACTCCAATAAACAACACCCCAAGCCGGCTAGTCACCGTGGGGAAAGTAGACTACTACCCTCCATATACCCACTTTCAACATACAGCGAGGTCATCAAATGAACTAACTACACCCATCCACACACCACCTAATAGAAACCAACAACTCAGATTATGCACCTATAACGTAAGATCGCTACTATCAAACGAACGACTATTGGAACTATCTCACGCCCTCAAGAAAATAAACTATGACATAATAGGACTCAGTGAAGTAAGAAAACAGGGCTGCACCATTGAGGAACACCAAGACTTCATACTTTGCTATACGGGAGTATCAGGTGGACTTCATGGAGTGGGATTCATTATTAAGAAGACTTTTAAACAAAATATTGTCAACTATACCGGAATATCAGAACGAGTGGCCGTACTGAAGCTGAGATTTGGAAATCATACATTATCAATCATTCAAGCTTATGCTCCCACTGAAAAAGCTAGCGAAGAAGACCTCGAAAAATTCTATGGCGATATGAGGAAAGCTCATGAATCAGAGGAAAAAACAGTGATAGTCATGGGAGATTTTAACGCAAAAATTGGACAGCCAAAGAAACTTGAAAATTTAGTAATGGGTAATTACGGATATGGAAAAAGAAATGCAAGAGGCGAAAGGCTTATCCAATATGCTTGCGAACAAAAGTTATCCATTATGAACACATACTTCAAAAAAAAGCAAAGTCGCAGATGGACATGGATGTCTCCTAACCAAAAAGTAAAAAATGAAATCGATTTTATTATGTGTAACAAACCAAAAAATATAACAAACATAGAAGTACTGAATAATTTAGAATTCCCATCAGACCATAGACTATTGAGATCAACGTTTACATTAAAATCTCTTAAATTGAACAGAAAATCATTCAAGCCTCAATCAAAAGCACCAGAATCAGACACAGAAAAATCCACATATATGAAAAATTTAAAAGATAATATAAACAAACAGCTTATAGCCTTACATATCGACAATTTGCAAATGTACTATGACATATTGGAAAACATTATCATAACTAGTCTGCAAACAATAGAAATAAACAAGAAAACTAAGAAAAAGCCAACAATCCTAAGAGATACTACAGTGAACTTGATAAAGAGACGTTCAGAATTAATATCAACCAAAAATAAAGACAGAAGTACAAAAACAGAACTAAAAAACATATTCAAGGTAACAAACAAAGCTATTAAAGAAGATTACAATAACCACAGACAAAGAACCATAGAGAAAAACCTGAACATGTACAGAAGTTCCAAACGGGCATTCAAAGAATTAAACACTCAAAAAGTTTGGATACAAAAACTTAAAAACGAACATGGAGAAACAACGTCTAGAAGCGATATCATAGAACATGCAACTGCTTTTTACAGAGAGCTATACAAGAAACCATTAGAAGACGCTCCTGAGGAAAACCCAGCAATTTTTGAGGATACAGAGGAACCTGTAGAAGTGGAACCAATAAGCACTACTGATGTATTTCATCATATAAAAAAACTAAAGACCGACAAAAGTCCTGGACCAGATAACATAAGTAATGAAGCTATAAAGATTGGAGCACCCATTCTGATTCCATATTTTGCCGAACTGTTTAATATGGTGCTGGAAAATGGAAAAGCTCCCAAACAATGGTGCTGCTCAAACATAGTACTCCTATACAAAAAAGGTAACCCAGCAGACATTGGAAACTACAGGCCAATAAGCTTACTGTCCAGCATTTATAAACTTTTCACTTCTATTGTATTAAGCCGAATATCAGCAAAGATAGATAACAACCAACCAATCGAACAAGCAGGCTTCCGTTCTGGTTTCTCCACTATAGACCACATACATACATTGGACCAGATACTCGAAAAGTATAAAGAATACAACCGACCACTCTATATCGCGTTCATCGACTATGCAAAGGCATTTGACAGCATATCACACAACTCGATATGGAAAGCGCTCGCCATGTGTGGAATAAGTAGGAAATATATAGAAGTCATAAAGTACATCTACACGCAAAGTACCAGTATCATAAGTCTGGAAAATAAAGGGGAAGAAATAACAATAGAGAGAGGCGTCAGACAAGGCGACCCATTGTCTCCCAAGCTATTCATAGCAGTACTGGAAGGCATATTTAAAGAAATAGATTGGAAAGAAAAAGGACTGAAGATACAGGGACATTACTTAAACCATCTCAGATTTGCTGACGACATTGTCCTTTTTGCAGAAACAGCAAACGAGCTAGAGCAAATGATACAAATTCTGGACAGCAAAAGTAAAAAAGTGGGATTACACATGAACATAAACAAAACCAAAATAATGACAAACCATCTAAGACAACAGATAAACGTGTCGGGTCTCTGTATTGAGTATGTGAATGAATATATCTACCTTGGGAAACAACTATCTTTCGGTACGAAGAACAATGAAGACGAAGTAGACCGGAGGATCAACTGTACCTGGAAGAAATTCTGGGCGCTTAAAGAAATCCTTAAAGGAGACTATAGCATAAAACTAAAACAAATAGTAATGGACACCTGTATCCTACCAAGTCTCACTTACGGAAGCCAAACATGGACATATACAAACAGTATAAGAAATAAAATTACAACATGTCAGCATGCTATGGAAAGAAGCATACTAAAGCTGAGAAGAATCCAGAAAATCAGGAATGAAGAGATAAGAAAAAAAACCAAACTTACAGATGCCCTTCAACATGCCCTACGTCTCAAATGGAAGTGGGCTGGACATATTTCCAGATACAGTGAAAGAAGGTGGACACAAGAAACAACAAAATGGCTGGGACCAGCTGGTAAAAGAAAATCAGGTAGACCACGAAAACGATGGTCAGATGACATCGTCGAAATTGCCGGCACCAACTGGATGAAAGTCGCGCAGGATAGAGAAAAATGGCAAAAGATGGAGGAGGCTTTTACCCAAAAGGGATCCGTATAAATATAATAAAAATCATATTGTATGTGTAATAACTTGAAATATGGATAAATAAAAAAGCTTTATTATTATTATTATTAATTACAAAATATTGTTAGGCATTGCAAACCTAATGAAATATTAAAAACTCAAACCAGTGACTTGGCCCGTGGACCAAGCTAAAAGTGGGTCAAGTTGCTGGAAGACTCGTTTTCGGAGAGCTTATTCAATACAAAAATACAAATCTTTCCTCTTTATAGGTAAGTATTACACCAGACCCTGCAATATTTTTTTTACCATCATCGCTAATTCCAAAAATAAATACTAGCATGTTATTTTGCTTGTGCAGTGTATTGCAAAAGTCAACTTAATTAAGCGTAAAGTAAATAAAAACAAAATTCAACCCTTACTAAAGCATCCCCTAACATTCCTTCGACAGGTCACGCCCCGTTGTTTGATTTTAATTTGCTGCTGATCTTTGTTATTTTAATTTCAATAGGGCTAGGATAAAATTGTTTTCACTTGGAAAGGTGAAAGAAAATTAATTAAGGCATTCTGTACCTACTATTGAGATAATAATTTCTCGGTGGTATCATGTAAATAGACGTTCTAGTTACAAGTAATAACTAAAGGGTTATAAATTTTATGTTTTCCGTATATTTTTGGTGATTGACCTACCGTCCCATAAATACATTTTCACTCGTAGTAATTTCGAGATGGGTGACAACTACTCGTAGTATCAAGGACTAAAGATTGAAATATTATACACGAGAAGTTTCTCAATTAACTAACAACAACAAGCAACAAGGTTTAAAATTGAAAAAAAAAATACAATCTTGTGGCATTTTGGTGAGTACAATTTTTTCAGTACCAGCATTTCTGCTTTTAAATCTTAATTAGTGATTATTATCATCTTTCAAGTTAATTGATAACATACATCAATATCTAGTGCTCACGACCGACTCTATTTAGTACATAAGCCAAAATAATAAGACAAAACACTCCACACGACGCCCCGTGATTGAAATCCCTCATTTTAAAATCTAATCAGAATCTGATGAGATCTAAATTAGAACGCTCGCACGTGTAATGTGAAGTGGTTCGAATGCCAATGTACAAAAACCAATTTCGTCGATCCAAAGGCAGTTTCACACCCACTTTATTAGAATCCCTTCCCCTATTTCGTTTCGATTCATTCATAGTATCGCAAAATTTAATTAATCTCCTGACATAATGAACAAACTGATCAGCCAGATTGCGAAGTAGCTAACCCTTTAACGGGTGTTGTAGGTATAAGCATTTAACTGTTTTCAAACTTTCGGACAATGGAAAAAGTTATAAAATGGTAGAAATTAAATTCCTATTTCCACGGTTGATGATAAACACAAGTTATTCGGCGTTCGGGTTTGTAAATTTCAGAATATGGACATTATGGAATGACCACAATAATCTTAATTGAATAGAATAGAGTGCAGAAAAACAGCTGAGAAAGAAAAATGTTAGTTTCATCTAATCTCGCAAATGTATTGGCTACTTTTATTGGGCTACGTCTAGTGTTTGGAATGATAATTGAAGATTGCCACGGAATTCCATTCAGAGGGGAAAGGTGCTAATATCGTGTTTTATTGTTCAAGCAAATTTGTAATTAACTTTCAGTTAATTAATTTTAATATACCGCTAGGTTGAGTGGCAGCGTTTTGGTTCTAAGACAATAGATCTTTTCTATTGATTTCTGCGATAGAAAATCTGTGGTTTCATTATTTATTGATATCATTGAAAATTAGCATTATAATAAATGTCCATTATATTGAAAGTAAGGTTATTTTGAAAAAAATCGCTTGTTCCAAAAGGGACTTGAATAAAAAATAGGGTTTTTTGTACAGGGTAACCAATAAAGTCAAAAGTAAATAAACATTTTTAGTAGCTCAAAGCTATAGTTGTGGAGTAAACGAAATGTCGTAGATTGAAATCTCAACTGCACCAGTTGAATATTCCAAGTCAGAATCGTGTCTACCAATAACTGATTCAACTATCCACCCACACAACTATACCTACCTACTTATAGATCCTCTTCCTGATATCTAAGATCTGAAGTGCTGCAGCTGCATACCAACAAACTCCAGGCTTAGTCTAAGTCTGGAATCAGGATTAGTCCGAACCCGTTCCATTCCATTCAAAGGACACAGTTGTAATCAAGCACTCCTCAATGGCCATTGATGGTTGAGGCACCTTTGCTCTTTGTGAGGACGTCTGCTCGGAAATTGACTCTTAAACTGTATTGCATAAGAGCTGGAGATTTATTTGCAAGTATTTGCTGTAATTGAAATTGAGCAATAAAATAGGTAAAGAAAAAATATGCTTTCAAATATTTTGTCGGCATGTTCTAGGACTTCTAGGTTTTTTTTTTAATCCACAACGAGGAAGCTCTTGGCCTGTATCTCACCTGATGGTAAGTGAAATCAAATTAAAAAGCCAACAGTTTGTGAAACTACTTAGGCTGGGTTGCATTCTATCTATCTATCTATGTCAGCCTTTGGGTTCGCCTTTGAACATAGGCCTCCTCTTCAACCCTCCACCGTTTTCTGTCCCTGGCCACACGCATCCAGTTCACTCCAGCCTGCTGCCGGATATCGTCTGTCCATCGTTTAGGCGGTCTTCCCCTGCCGCGGGTGTTGTTGCGGGGTCTCCACTCCAGGGTCTTTCTGGCCCAGCGATCCTGGTTCATCCGTGCAATGTGTCCCGCCCATCTCCATTTACGGCTCTCTATCTCTTCCACCACGTCGCTGATCCTCGTCTTTTCTCTGATCCACTCGTTCGTTTTGTGATCTTGTAGGGAGACGCCAAGCATCTGTCTTTCCATTGCTCGTTGTGCGACTCGGAGTCTCTCAGCAGACTTTTCTGTCAGCGTCGTGGTCTCCATCCCATACACGAAGACCGGCAGTACACACTGGTTGAACACCTTGGTCTTTAACACCTAAAGGGTTGCATTATCTTACTTTAACTTTAACAAACGTCAAAAATCTGTAAAATTCCATACAAAAGCACCAGTTATGGTAATAGTCATGGTTAAAATACGGTGGTGCAGCTCAGCCTTAGTAACTAAAACTTTAAGCGAAATAATATGTGTGTGATAAGGGAGAGCGATTCTCTCGACTCAGAGATTATTGGTTTGATGGTCATGTGGGACACATACCTATAGTGTACAAAACACTTACATAGTTCCCATTTTGGGTAGGACTTTTAAACAAAAACGTAGGACATTGCAGGCTTGAATAAAATTGGTATTATAGAAGGGTATATGATTCAATATTTCGGAGGGAGAATCATAAGACGCCTTTGGGGGTTTTGTTAAGTGTGCCCTTACAACCTACACGATAGGAAACCTAAAATTTATGTTAATTAGTACTAAACATGTAATGGGTGTTAACATGTTGACTTTAAACCAATAGTAACGGCAATAAGCAGGTTAATTTCATTTCTAAACCTTCACCGTTATGGTTAAAGAACAAGAACTTTTTCGTTTTAGTATTTTTTAGTTAAACATCAAATAAATCCGACACTTAAAAGTTCTGTTAAGATCTTTACTTTGCGTTCGTGACTGACGTAGCGTATCGCTTCGAGGGTTCATAAGACCGAATCAAGGAGTCAAAGCATGTATTTTGTTTAGTGCCGTGTTCCCTTTCATGTTTTGAGTGCCCTTAAACAGTAACCTTTGAAAATTTACGAAGCACTCGAAAATATTGAGTTAAATCTCGAAGGGCCTGAGATGAACTTAAAAATAGAATATTATCATAATGTCCCGGGAAATGCTGCGCAAAAAATAGTACGGTTCATTAAGCGAGCTGTCGAGTTGTTTTGGTGATTCATTTGCATAATTAAGAGTCGGTAGACTAGCTATTATATTATCTTCTTTTCAACCAAAATAATGATGTCCACTGCTGGACAAAGGACCAAGACTACTTATGCCTAGTACTTATAAAAGTAAATCCATAACTGTCGCTACCCGTTCATTGTATATTATTGACAACTGAACTGATAGATACCTATATTAGGTCTCATTTTTCCAGAACCTAATATCAAATGCTTTGTAATTTTGTTGAAAGTTCCAGTATAATTTCAGCACGATTTATACCAATGAATACAACTTTTTTGTTGATAAGGCTGAAAAATTTGCTTTAATTTCAACGGAAAAATTTGAGGCATCTTTTTAATTGCTACTTTCCCAACCAATTAAAAAATTCGACGCACCTTATTAAAAACACCTCAAATTGGCTTTCAGCGCTAAAATTAATGAAGCATAGACTTTTAATTAGCGCCTTGGTATTAAAGAATGATGTCTAACTGCCTACTCCAAGGTGTAAAAGCGAATCAGACCGTTTGAAGTTTAAGGCGGGCTGAGGGCTTTTCAGCGTGCCAGACGCACTACAGAGTGTAGGGTTGCCATTCGTCCGGGTGTCCCCGGATCTGTCTTAAACTCGGCGTAAAGACTCGTGGCAGGCGGTGTAATATTAAAATAGTACATATCACATTTTCTCTTACACTGGTTATGGGTGACGTCACACAGAGGCAGGCATAGCGTTGTTTATAATACGTAATAATTAATAAAATATTGGGAAGTGTGCATCTATGATTCAAAAATTACTTATGGCCCCGCCTGCCATCAGTCTTTACGTCGAGTGTTATAGTTTAGAGGGCGTCTGGAGTGTCCTCCGGGCTCCCACCATTTTTATTACATATTTGTATCGTTTCATTCGTAGTACGGGTTTATAATTTTCAGTCTTATGGTTCGCCCGCCGCCCGCCACGATGGCGATGGCGGTAGCGATCAGACTTTACGCATTGATCGCCGTCGCCATCGCGCACGCAGGCTCCACACATTGGTTTGGGCGAACCCTCAGGCCGATTCCGTGGATTGAGGCGTGATGCGACTAAGCTTAAAAAAAAATCCTGTTCTGGG